AAGCAATAGGTCTTCCGTCACAATGTAGCGTTTTTTCGGCGGAGGCCTTTGCAATCAAGTCGGCCGTCATCGCTGCAAGAGCATCAACCGAATGTGTTATAATTCTGTCTGATTCGGCCAGCTGTCTTTCGGCCATAGAGAGTGGTAGATCGCAGCATCCGTGGATCCAGGAAATCGAGCGCTTACTACGTGGACGGCCGATCCACCTTTGTTGGATCCCTGGTCATGCCGGAATTCGCGGTAACGAAGAAGCAGACCGTCTAGCCAGTGAAGCACGAAACAGTCCACCAATCAACGTTGCCGTACCAAGAATTGATTCCATCAAGAACATGAACCAAGTCTTTCGTCAGCTATGGGAAGCACGTTGGGCACAATTGACAGATGTGAAGCTGAAGGAGGTCAAAAGGGAAACGAAGAAGTGGATCGATCAGTACAGCTCTGCCGATCAACGCATACTCACTCGTCTGCGCATTGGTCATACAAGGGTTACGCATGAATTTTTGCTGAAGAAAACAGCTCCGCCAGCATGTGAATGCTGTGGGACCGTTGTTGACGTTCGCCACATTATTCTGCACTGCAGAAAATTTGAAGCGGCCAGGACGAAATACGGAATCGATTCCACAAGCCTTTTTACGGCGTTACGCAACGACGATGATTATGAGAAGCGGTTGCTGAAGTTTCTGCATGAAACCAAACTTTATCGGAAGCTTTGAAAGGCGAAGATAGAATGGACAGGGAAATGCAGGATATAGGAAGAAAACGAAGCGGAGGATGAAGAACAAGCAAGCGATGCAGAAGAAAAATGAAGTCTGAATGGAAGAAGATGTCGGACAGGAAATGGAAGAAGATGCAGTGGAAGAATGTTACCGATGAATGTTGGAAGCAAATGAGTTCATGAAGAAGATGCTGAATGGAAATCGAAGAAGATAAAGTGAAAAAGGATGAAGATGAAGCAGAAAACGAAAGTACTACAGAAGACATGAATGATTATGAAGATGCAGAAGAATGAAGATAAATATGAAGTGCAAGGAAGGAACGGAGAAATCGAAAAATAATGTCGAAAAGATATATGGAAGATCATGAAGAATGAAGATGGTGAATATATATATAGAAGAAGTAAAGAAGAAATTTATGGAGAAGAAGTGTAAACCATGAGATGAGCATGCAGACGATGAACCAGGAAACGAGCAAACGATAAGAAAGCTAAGTGAATTTTGAATTGTATCGTAAACACTAACACTCACCCTCACATCACTCTGAACACACCCACACACTGTTTACACAAAAATCAATTGAACTGACATGAATGCATCCGCAGGATGTAAAATGTCAATAATAAACAACAACAACGTCTGTTATGACCCTCGTAAGTGTCAGTCTCTGAGCACATAATTTTACCAGAATTTTTCAAAGTGTATAAATCTGTTGAAATTCTGAGCCTAAACGTGTTTGCTGAACCACTTCTACGTACCGAAGAGTGAAGGAATGTTATTTCTCCATATAGAGGAAATGGCTCTAATATATTTATTTATTTATTGTTTATCAGTCAACAGGTAAAATGTTTACCCTAATGACACTTGTTCTACAACTAAATACAAAACTAACGAATAACATAAATTAGCATAAAACTCGTTTAAAACTACGCTTATTTGTTTCTCGTGACACGTTGAAATCGTACACATAATAACACCAGTTGAATACACGGGACATGCTTCGCAAAGGTTCGTATAAGCCATATTTAGTTCTTGCCGGAGGGATGGTGAATAACGAGTGCGACCGAAGATTGCGACGACGTGTGTTGATGTCCAAAAGACTAAGAAGCGTAGGACTGTCAAGAAGAACAGTTACAAAGTGAATTCCGTGTCTGCTATCTGCTTCTCCCTTCCAGATGTGATCCATTGATCAAATTTGTAGAATATCTCATTCTAAGTAGGCTGTGGACCTTTGATATATTGGGAAAAAGTGTCAAAAAAGTTAAAACAAACAACTATTTCGAAAAAAAAACATGTTCTGTAGAATGCTAACTAATGATGTCAAAAGATAGCCTTCATATATGTCAACAACTTTGTCGAAGACACCAAACCTGAAAGATGCAAGCGTGGAGCGCTACGATTTTTATTCGATATACCATTCTTTGCCAGTGTGTCCTGGTTAGAAACTTGTTTTACCATTTTCCCTTGCTAAGCCCATGATCTTCAGTATAAAAGACACTATCCTCAGCGCCCATGTTTTCTTCTTGATGTGATGTGATTTGGACCCTTACTTTTTATGACTTGATAATAGTGACAAGATTCGGGTAGTGACCACCGCGCCGTTCTTCATTTCTATATTGTATATTTCAAATCAAAAATATTGTTTATGTTCATAGATTTCACATAATCCTTTTCCCTTTGTCCTTCTCCTTTTCCTTCCCCTCTTCTCTTTTCAGAAGATGAGTAATGGCGCTATACCCAGAAGTAATAAAATGCTAGGACAAGAGTGAGTGCTCATGTCCCAACCGTCAGAATAAAATGGAGCATCACTTAACCTTTCTAGCTTTGATGCTTCCAACGACCAACCAATCATATAATTACCAAAATCGGAACGTACGGTACGAGATGTCCACGTTTCTTCCTTTTATTGGATTCTGAAGCATCGTGTTTAAATCTTCGATTTAAACAGGCCCGATGTTTGCTGAATCATCTTGCCCCTTAAATGCTGCACAGTAGGCCTGGTCGTTTTGATATGTGTGACGCATCTTCGATGTGTAACATATATCAAATAGACAAGAAAAATGATATAGGTATATATATATATCATTACATACCATGATGCTTTCAAGAACTGGCTGTGTTGGTGTTGGATTAGATGAGATATGATTTGGACCCTTAAAGCGATGAAGCTATCTTCTTTAACGATATTCTTCAGCTAAAGTTTTTGGCACACAAGTTGTCTTGATGCAATATACTTTTGATACTTTGATACAGGCTACACACATCCATCACGAAACCCGCATTCGGCCCACGAGCCGCACGTTGGAGAGCCCTGCTCTAGAGGACCTCATACTCCTTCTCCTTTTAGTTCTCGCTCGATGCTACATTGGTTCCAGTATTTCAATATAACGCGCTCTGAAAATAAAAGGGCTTGAAACCCCCTGGTAGAGGTCTTAATAAGCTTGAGATAGTCCACATTGAAGGAACAACTCCACCGATTTCAAAATAATTATTTAGAGCTGTCTTTTAGAACTAGCCTAAAGGCTTATGGATAAATCAATAAAAGTATTAGTCCAGTTCAAGATTTTCATGTTCAAGTTCAGAGATATTCAAGGGTGAAACTAGATACATGCAAGGATAAGTTCAGTGAGCTTCAGAGTCTAGTCGAGTCAAGTAGAGTCACACAATCTATGCAGTAATGTAAGTGTCACTTTTGCAGTTGCGTAGCTACACAAATAGTTGAGGAGGGATATTCCTGCAAATTTTTGGATGAAGAAACGTTGCACCGCTCCATAGAAATGACTCTCTTTCAAAGGTCAAAGCGTCTTTTTAAATCCACACCCATCGCCATCAACACTCAACAAACTCAATTTCCCACTGTGAGAAGTGCCCTCCCCGTCAAGCCGAAGCCAAGCATGCCGTACCATCTCCACGTGGGGTTTCGATTTCGGACGACTCGATGGCCCCTGGTACAGGAAGACATCCTGCTGTATCAAATCGGTCCCAACAGTCTCCAAGCTACTGATGGATACAATGTAGAGGTGAGCACGGGTGACTGGCGGTAATTGGATTGCATTTTGTGCTTTGGTACCAATCTGGCGAGAAAACAGCGGTCGTCACCATCGGTATGAGTGAGTTGAAAAATATTGTCCAGGGCAATTCAACTCGACGGGGTGCCACTAGAGATGGAGCTTGTTTTTTTTTCACAGTGCTGCGCTTTATCCTTCGAAAAGACAGATGGTGTAAATTTCTTCACTCCATACTTTCTAGTGGAATCCAAGCCATTCGGAGAGCAAGTGCACCTTGGTTGAAAAACGATAATTTAATTCCGAGCTGGATTATGCGATGGGAAAGCGCTTCAGGACGGTCAAACGACCTATAAATATAACTTTCCGATAGCTGTAAGACCATCCTCGGTAAGGGTGATCGGTATGCTTCAGAATGGTGCATTTTCTGTCCAATTTTCAAGGCAATCCAAAAAGTAGCTTTGCAGAATTTAGTTGGCTTTCGGGCATCGTGACCTAACCGGGACTGCTTTCGTTGGCCTTATGCCAAGTAAGACAATGTATGTCGCGCTAAAAGAGCGAGTACCAATTGCGACGTATTCTGACGAATGGCAAATAGATTCTGATTGCAATCGAAGATATTCAACCAGCATTGGTTTATAAGAAAAAATCTACTTTTAAAATGACATCACAGGACGATTGACTATGCCATGGACTACGGTGTCCAATTGCCAATTTAGAGGTCATAAAAAGTTTCCATCAAACCGGACAACAAATGAACACGTAGGGCCAAGCTTCATTTGTCACCGGAGCGGCCTTGACTGGCTGGACATATTTGGCACCATGCCGGAAGGAGACACACCATCATTATAATCACCGTAAACGTGTAAGGCGAAAAGTTGGTCGTCGCTTTCCCCCTTCAGAAGACAATGATAATCAGAACAAAAAGTATCTCCCAAATCCCACAGGACGAGTTCTGCGTCGTGTGATTTCTGGCGGAAAACGAGAAAAATTCGGGCGAAATACGCTCAAAGCACACATGTGAGTTCTTTGGAGTCCAACATAAGCCATCAGGCAGCCGGGAAAGGAGGAGAAGGAATTATGATCGCGATGAATAATGGATAACGATAAATCTTCATGAAAAAATATGAGATGAAACTTTATTGTCATTCAGCTGGGTGGATTCTTTCACATTCGGCTTGGTTGGCTGCTTTTTTCCCCCGTTTGCAGTGGTGTTCTATGATACTGGCATCTATTTTTTTTTCTGTTGGGTCGCTAGTTTCGGAGAATTTACGATACTCACCATAATGCAGAGGATTCCATTCTACTGGGGAAGTGATGATAGTTTTATGATTGTTGGGATAATTGTTGCACCTGAAATGAAAACGTGAAAGGCGGATGATGAGTTGGAGCCTTGAATTGGGTCTAGTTTGGAAATTATCATTTATAATTGCTCGTTAAAGCTAATGGTGTTTGATGAATAAATCATCGTTCAAGTGCTTCAGGTTTAGCTAGTCAATACAATTTGAATCTTGTTTAATCTATAGAAAAAATAAACAAATTCTTTATCGTAAAAGCTGGTATAGTAGCTTCTAAATTGCCAACTAATGAAGATACAGCACCATCCTACCCACATGCAATCAGTACTATTTAGGTGAACCCATTCTTTCATCAAGAGAGCACATCAATATTAATTAAGACACCACAAAGCTTGTACTTCCCAAATTGCGGTTAACCACATATTTCAATCTGCAAGAATGAGGCCAGCCCTTGTGCATACATTGGATTCAGTCCGGGCATGGCCCATAATAGGAGTCATCGCATCGTTCGCAAAAAAAAAACAATTTCCAAGCAAGCACGCATCCTCCCATTTCTAACGAATGTGGTAATCCGTCACTGGTCCAAACGTAGAAGTCACGTATGAGGACGAAAATTTCCGAAACAGTGTTTTAGTCATGTTGTGCTAAAGGGTGTCTTCAGTTAAATTGCATCACTTAGAAGTACTCGCCAAATATAAGTTTCTCAACCGATTGTCATGAAATTACGCTTGGTTTGCGTATAAGGTTTTGTACAACGGTTGAATCGACAGTTTTACTGCTTTCAACCATGATTTCAACGTTTTTCCTCCGTAGTGACAACGGATGCTTACGTAGTTCGTGCTTCATTATAGCCCAGTATCTTTCGATCGAACGCAACTCCGGTGTGTTTGGGGAATTGAGATCCTTCGGCACCAAATTGACCCCATTTGTCTTGTACCACTCCAGAACGTCCTTGGAGTAGTGACAAGAGGTTAGATCCAGCCAAAACATTGTAGGAACGTTGTATGATTTGAGAAACGGATGCAGTCGTTTCTTCAGGCACTCATTCATTTAGACTTGGCCATTTAAGGTTGTAGTTGTTACGAAAAGCTTGCTTCCGCACGAACAAATCGCCTGCCAAATCATGAATTTCTATGGGAACTTCGACACTTACTGTTTTCTGGGAGACTCTGAAACATTTAACTTGTCTTTCACAATCACATACTGGTTTCCCGGAATTTGTTTGAATTCAAATGCAGTTTTTTCAAGAAATCCCGAACGGAATAGTTGGGTTTGCATTCGAAGGCAGCAACCACTCGCTTGTGATCTTCAACGCTTTTCTCCGAAACGTTTTATGACACGAGGAACAGTAGATTGTTGGATTCCCAACATCTTTCCAATGGCTCGGTGCGAAAGATCACATGGGTTGTTGTCGATTCTATTTTCAAAACTACTGGAAATTCCACAATGAAACTCGCGCAATGTAAACAATACACGCTGAGGCAATCTCACCCAAAAATTCATTTAAATTAATACAAAGGGGAAAATGATACAGCTTTTTTAAAGTGATACAATTTAACAATGGACACCCTTTATCGGTGGTGTATTGTCGATTATTTATCTTGTCTTTAGTTTGCATTGATAAATTGGCCAAACCAATAATTGATCAACCAGAAACATTTACAAATTACCATAAGCGTTTTTTTCAATAGGACAGAGCACTACTTCGTCATAATCGCCTATTTCCGTTCTTTCGTGAAAAACATAAAATATCAGGAGGAACTTCTTAGAAGCCCTGGGTACTTTTATTTGTTCTTGGCGTCTATCGTTTCTTCTGGAAACTTTAACTGGGAACTTCTAAGAATCAAAAATCTTGGATGCTCTGAAATCTGTCAAGAAGTTCTGCAATCTTCAAATTGTGACATGTTCAAATACGTTTTTGGATGTTTTCGGCATTCTAAGGAAGTTCAGAAATTCATCAAGGGGATGATATTAGGATTTACTAGTAGACATTGTTGAACATTCCTACGTTCTGAGAACTTTCAGTACAAAGTTTGGGAAACTACTATGCAGGAGTTCTGAATGGTTTCAAGCTTAATTGATTTGTAATCAGGTCCTGGTAATTCTTCCAAAATTTGAGCTCATTGAGTGCGAAATGCACTGGCCTTTGAAGTATGTATGGGAATTGATATGGGAAAAGTGCCGGTCTGCGGAAAAGTTTGCACGTCAGGATAATTAGGAAAATGACATTCTTCTGAAATGCTCCATAAACTTCTGACATGCTCCGTAAAATCTTGTCCAAAAAAATACTTCAATTACGTTAAAACTAAATTAAAATCCGACAATTTTCCATCAAAAATGCATTTTAATGAAACGTTTGGTGACAACGCAGCAGATATCTGCAATCTATTTGCTACTTCCTCCCAAGAAATTTACACCTCTTTTTCAGAAGATGATCGTGTTCGTGATTATTTTAGTGATATACAAGTTATTATGGTAACTTTGAACAATTTGGATACTTCCAAGGGATCTGGACCAGACGGTATTCCACCAGTATTTATGAAGAGCCTGGCACTGTAACTTACAGCTCCATTATTCTGGTTTTTCAATATGTCACTAGATTCTAGAATCTTCCCAAAAATATGGAAAATTTCTACTTGGAAAAGCAAAGTTCGGTCATATCTCACGCTTACTCGTCTTTGTATGGAGGAACATTATTTCATTTTCAGAGGAAATTTTTATAAACAAACTGAAGCGCTCCTATGGGCAATCCGCTTTCTCCATTTTTATGTGAATTGTTCATGGCTAACCTAGAAAAATACTCTGGAGGATAGGAATTTGTTGCCCAAATGTTGGTATAGGTACGTGGAGGACATTTTTAGCATTGGAAAGATTTATCAAAAAACTTTGGAGGCCATAAGCAACGTTCACAAGGACATCAAATTTACTCACGAAGAAGAGAGAGACGGCAAACTCCCCTTCTTAGATCTTCATCATCATCAGGGAAACGTCTTCATTCAATTTCGAAATCTATAGGAAACCAACAAACACAAAGAGAGTAATACCAAGCACTTCAAACCATTCCCATCAACACAAAATGGCCGCTTTTCACCACATGGTTCACAGGATGCAAACTCTTTCTCTTAGCGATACAGGCAAATCAAAGGAAATAGCTCACATTTTTGAAATCGCTAGACTTAATGGGTATCAAGAAAAAACAATTCAAGCAGTAATCGATAAAATAACAAGGGATCATTTTAGGCGTACTTACACCAGTAACTGAGGGTTTAAAACGGGTAGCGGTGAATTTCGACAAAAACATTACCAAACTAAAGTTTAGAAGTTTTGGCCTAGATTTAGTATTCAGCTGCAGGACAAATCAGCTGAAGTCACTGTTAGGATCAACAAAAGATTCAATAAATATCTTAGGGAAAACCGGAGTCTACAAAATCTCTTGTCCAGATTGCAATAAAATCTACATTGGTCAAACGAAAAGGACTTTGGAAACAAGTTTTAAGGAACACATCGCAGACGTAAAAAAGGCTAACAAAGAGATGGATAAAGGACTTCATTATGAATTTAAATCCAAGGTTGCAGAACATATCGTTACAAAGAGGCATAATTTGACAAACGATAACATTAATATCCTGCGGACTGTATCTTCGCCTTGGAAACTAGACGTAGCTGAAAGTTTAGAAATATTTAAACATAATCCATCAACATTGCTTAATAGAGATCAAGGAAACGGATACTCGAGACTCGTTAGCATGCTACCTAAAACAACACATCGTAGCATGTATCTACCTGCTGGAGATTGAATTTAGGTACCTGTTTAGGTAAATTTTGACATGGCAGTGCATACCTACTGATTTTTAGTACCTATTGATTAGTATAGCTCGTAGATGAAAGATGGATTCTTCAGGGATTTAGGAGTTATAGTTGATTCAAAACTAGCATTCACTGATCATTATAATACAATTATCAACAAAGCAAATAACATGCTTGGCTTTATCAGATGATTCAGTTTCAACTTTCATGACCCGTATACAATAAAATCACTGTACATTTCATTTGAAAGGTTAATACTTGAATATTGCAGCATAGTTTGGTCCCCTTTTTCATTCACGCATGAGGAACGATTAGAATCAGTGCAAAAGCAATTCTTATTATTTGCTCTTCGTAAATTAGGTTGGACAAGATTTTCTCTTCTATCTTATGAAGCACGCTGCATGCTCAGCAACATTCAAACATTGAAAACGCGTCGTGAATTTGCAATGGTTTCGTTTTTGAGTGATATAGTATCGCAACGGATTGACTCAGTAGAACTGTTATCAAAGCTTAATTTTTACATACCTTGTCGGCAACTGCGAATTCGAAATATATTTACTACAAATGTTTATCGCATAAATTATGCCAAATTTGGTCCACTAAATCAAATTATGACTGCTTACAATAAACATAGTGAAACTATTGATTTTGTAATGACAAAAACCACATTAAAGCAGTACTTTAATTTAATTTTTAATATTAACACATGACTTGTAAAAATGGTCTACATCTGATTTACGACAATAAATAAATAAATAAATAAAACTGTCCAGCAAGCAACATTGCACAGTGGTTAAGGAATGCAATCTAGCGGAAGGAATTCAATGACTCCAAAACGAGTCATTTTAGTGATTTTTTGTCTCGGGCATTTTTTGTCTGGTCAAAATATAATTGCACTAAACTTGTACTAAACTGCTGATCCAAATTTTTTTTTTAAATAAGTCATTCTGGAAAGTTGTTGTCTTCTAACAAGTTGTTTATTAGTCAAAAAAATAAAACTCTTATTAAAATGCCTAAATCGCAGCGGCCTTGGTTTTCAAGCTATTGATTTTTTTTAGTTTAAACGAAAAAAAAAATCGATAATTTACACTTTGTGTTTTTTTATCATTTAAAGTAGTAGTTTTTAAAAATATAAAGTAATTACACAAAACTTAAAACTTTTTCGAAAATCTCTTCCTGGTTTGACGCTACCTTTCAAAGATATTGATCAAAAACAATACATTTGACCCATCTTTCAAAAATCATATC